CAAGAGAATCACCTAAGCCCAGGAGTTGGAGGTTGCTGTGAGCTGTGTGATGCCCCGGCACTCTACTGATGGTGATAAAGTGAGACTCTGTCTCTACAAGAAAAAAAAACAAAAAACAAAAAAACACAAATCTGATCTCATGATTCTTTGCTCAAAAGCCTCCAGGGGCAGCTTTTGGGTCCCTTGATAAAGGTTTTATGCCTGCTCAGCCACTATCTCCATCCACCCTTGCCTCTCCCTGCCTTCTCCAATCCCACAACATGTAATTTCCTTCAGTTCCTCAAACACACCCCAGGGTCTTTACATATGTTGTTCTTAAGGCATAGAGCAGCGTGCAACTCATCTACTCTGCAAAAACCAGATAGAGACTCCTGGCCTACTGTTCACTGTCTCCTAAAGCTGATTATGCCACACTTTCCTACCCCCATCTAGTCCCTCCTCAGGCTTTGATCTCTCTTAGTTGTTATGAAACTATTCAGATCTGCAAATACTAAAAGAATAATGTGTCAAACCCTGTGTCCCCCTCCCTCCTGCTCAAGAGTAAGACATTGCACATCTCACGGAGCCCTCTTTGAACTCCTCCCCGGGTTACCTCTGTCCTGAGTTTGGTATCTTCACTCCTACATCTACTATCTTGAAACTTTTACATAAATGCACATCTCTGAACAATGGACATCATTCGTGCATACTTTTAACAGTATATACATCCCTTGCTTTGCTGTCTCATTCACCTTCTGTTGGTGATACCCACTGTGTGGCTAGGCCTTGCTCCAGTTCATTGGTTCTGCCTGTGGTGAGCACCCACTGTCTGGCTGCAGTGTCCATTGTTTGGCCACGGGTGGTCTAAATTGTTTCCAGCCGTGGCTGCTACAATGCTGCCCTGAGCCTGCGTGTACCTGCCTCTTAAGCCTGTGTGCTAGAGTTGATCAGGGCTTGAACCCAGGCATTTGCTAGCTAAACGGGCATGCGCACATCTTTACTAGATGTTGCTAGGTTGGCTGCACCAGCATACTGTTGGCAAACTGTTTTGTTTTGTTTTTTTAGAGACAGAGTCTCACTGTATCACCCTCAGTAGAGTGCTGTGGCATCACAGCTCACAGCAAGCTCCAGCTCTTAGGCTTAGGCAATCTCTTGCCTCAGCCTCCCAAGTAGCTGGGACTACAGGCGCCCACCACAACGCCTGGCTATTTTTTGTTGCAGTTTGGCCAGGGCCAGGTTCAAATCTGCCACCCTTGGTATATGGGACCGGTGTCCTACTCACTAAGCCACAGGTGCTGCCCGGCAAACTGTCTTTTGTCCTTCAGCCCAGCACAAAGGTGTTCCTTCCAATTTCTATTTTCCCCAAATAAAACAATTTAACTCCACCTGTTGGTGTCCAGCCTCCTAGACTCCCCCTGCCCATCTTTTCCAATTGGACTTCTTCTGAGCCTCCCCATTCAAGGCAGCTAGCACTTTGTATAATAAACAGGACAAGGAGACCCTGGGTCACAGCAGCAGTGACCCTCAGCAGTCTGGGGGCCAAAAGCCACAGATGTAATCCAATCTCAGATTTAATTCTTAAGCTGTGTGTCTTTGGGCAAATCACTTTGTCTCTCTGACCCTGTTTCTGCACCTATTTCTACTCCCTAGCTTCCGGCTTCCATCCTCCCCACTGACCACCCTAATGAGCTAAGAACTCCTAGTTACAGCCCCAGAGATCCAATCGCATTGATGGCTCTGACTGTGGTTCTTGACTGACGGAAGCAAAGCCACACAGCCTCTCTCTAGGTCCAAGACACACAAATGAGTGCCTCAGGGAAGGTCCCCATCCACCAGAGCCAGAACCAGAGTGACTTGAGCCCTCCCCATGCCTCACAGCACACTGTAATCCCTTGACTCTGTACCTACTAAACAGAATAGTGACAATGGCTGACAATGGGAGGCCCAATCATTCAGTAAAATAAGCAGGACAAGCACTGGGTGCTTCACATCTTTAGCATCCACTGGGAACTGCCAACAATTTTGAATATCAACCAGAACCACTTTGACTGTAGTGACAGACACCCCAAGTCAACCTAGTTGAAAAAAATTGTAATTTATTGGCCCAAGTAACTGGGAAGTCTGAGGAGGGCTGGTATCTTGCTTCGGGTATGATCAGACCTAGGAGTCTAATAATGCCTGTCCTCTTGGCCATTCTCTCCTCCATGGTGGTTTCACCCTTAGGCAGGCTCTCTGGGGGGGTGTTTCTAGGCCTTCCTCCTCCCAGCTTAATAACTAAACCTCCAGGAACAAAAAGAGCTTCCCTCCCTGACGCTTCCTCCTCAGATCCCTGGGCTGCCCCTCCTGTACCAGCTGGGGTCACATTCTCACACCTGGGTCAGTCACAACAGCCAGGGGAGAGGACAATGGCCAGGGCCAGGTCTGAGTCACATGCTCACCTTCTGAGGTGGGGGTGTCAGTTCAACAATCTCCAACACCACATCACATGAAGGGAGACTGGGAAAGAATTGAACCCCAGAGGAAAACTGAGGGGAAATTTCCCAAAGTAAGGGGAAACGGATCCCAGCCAGTCAAAACAGTAGGTATCCACCATATCGCTGCTACTCGGGCTGAGGTTCATGGGACAGCAGCATCAGAGCCACACGAGAGCTCCTTAGAAGCACAAAGTCTCGGGCCCCATCCCTGAACCTGCATCACAGCAAGACCTGCTGGTGAGTTGCCCCACACCAAAGTGTGAAAGTGCTGTTCTGCGTGTTAATTTTAGTTGCTTAGGCAATTTTTAAGTTCTATTTTATTTAGAACTACAAAGGTAAGAACAAAGAGAGTCCCTTGAGGTCACCAGGTCCAGTGCCTTGACCTAAAGATGCAGACACTAAGGGCCAGCAGGGAAAGGTCTTGCTGGCAATGCCCACTCTCCACCTAGGCCCCCACCCCCATCCTACCCGCAGGGGTTGCCTCTTGGGATGATGCTTTCAGAGCCCCAGCAGTGCCAGCCTGTGCCAGAAGGCCTCACTCAGGTGAACATCCTTGTCACCATCTGCTGCCACTCACATGCCAGGGCTGTCAGAAGTATGGGGCCCCTGTGGAGGATGGAGACCCACAGATACACACACATACACACGCACGCACACAGAGATCCAGGCTCTCTCTGGGTCAGACTCGTACACACACACACAGACGCATGCAGGCTATCAGGCCCAATCTGACCCACAGAACTCCCCTAAGGCAAGAGCACTACAGACCAAGCCGGCCTTTATTCTATTACAAGCAGAATGGGGCCAGCGTAGTTCATTCTCAGGCTGTGTCAGAAGGTGCAGAGTGTCGGGGGGGGGGGACATAGACTGCACCCCAAAGTGACAATAAGTTAGGGGGGAAATTCTCAGACTGTTGTCATGCTGGAGGCAGAGCAGGTTGCCGAGTGGGCCCCCCAGAGCCACTCCCAGCTGCCCAGCTCAGCCCTTCCAGGCAAGGCTGTTTCCAAGACAGACATGGCCTCATACTGAAACACAACAGGGAAGGGGAGGGAGAGAGGGGTACTGGGGTCAGGTCAGCGGGCGTTAGCAGGGTGCCCAGGGGCAGAGAGGACAGGCCTGAAGTGGAGGACAGGGGTCACAGAGGGTGGACTCAAGGGAGGTACAAGGGCCTGCAGGCCAAAGGGAGGGCTAGGGCAGGAGGGCCTCTCACCAGGCCTCAATTAAGCTCTTGCAGATTCTCGTAATCTGGAGCTCCTTCTTCCTCCTCATCCTCCACTTCCTGGGAGCTCAGGGTAGCTGCGAGGCGAAGGGTGTTCAGTCTCTAGCTATAGTCATTCCCCTTAACCCAAAGCAACTCCCCCAGCTTCTGCCCCCTAACCCCCATGCACACACCAGGCTCAGTCCTGGCCCCTGGCTGCTGCTCTTGGGATACATTTACGTACTCCAGGCTGCCATCTGTGGAGACAAGTCAGACGGGAGACTGGCACACACAGGGCAGGCCACACTGAAGGTAAGCGGGCAGAACGTCCCTCAGACAGAGAGGAAGGGGTGTGGGCAGCTCCAGGGGGAGGCCAGACCACACCGAGAGTGGGGTGGAGCACAGAAGGTTTAGGACAGGCACGGGGAACACCAGTCACTCACCCAGAGATGCTTCTGCACTCTCCTCACTCTCAGGGACGTTCACATAATCTTTGCTGGACTCCACTGCGGGAAAGTCACAGAGCCCATCTGACCCCCAGCACTGATACCAGAGACCTTGTACCACAGATTCCCAAAGATCCCCCAACCTCAGGTGTCCAGGTCTCCCCAAGGGCAGACACCCAGAGGCTCCCAACACAGCCACCCTTCATCAGCCCCACAGGACATGATGAGAGCACTCCAGACTGTCAGTGATGGCGGCTGGAAAGAGCAAGGGCATGCAGAGAGAAGAGGCCCACGTGACCAGGGCTGATGACAGTGAATGGAATTGTGAGAGGGCAAGAGGGTCAGAGAACGGCAGACCCCAGCAGAGCCTTCAGGCAGGGGAGTGACCCCTGCTGTCCTGACCCCTGCCTCTACCCAGTAGCCACTGCCAAGGCCCTGTGGCACCTATTTGTTTCTTTTCTATGCGGCCAAGAGGACGGGGCAAGGTGGGCTTTGGAACTCGACTGCCCCAGTTCAGTCCCAGTTCCAGCACCAACCAATAATGTAACCTTAGACAAGTGACCTAACTTCTCTGGGTCTCAGCTTTCTCATCTGGAAAATAGTAACAATCCCTGCCTCATCTCATGGGATTGCTGTGAGGATTAAAGCAGTGAATAGGGCTCAGCGCCTGTGGCTCAAGCAGCTAAGGCGCCAGCCACATACACCTGAGTTGGTGGGTTCGAATCCAGCCCAGGCCCGCCAAACAACAATGACGGCTCCAACCAAAAAATAGCCAGGCCTTGCAGCAGGCACCTGTAATCCCAGTTACTAGGGAGGGAGAGGCAAGAGAATCGCTTGAGCCCAGGAGTTGGAGGTTGCTGTGAACTGTGATGCCACGGCACTCTACCCACAGTGACAGCTTGAAGCTCTGTCTCAAAAAATAAATAAATAAATACTACTTTCGTT